CCCAGTGACGAAAGTAATTCTTTTTGTAATTTATAAGTTTGAGTAAATTTATAAATATTTTCCGTATTCTTATTATAACTTTCCTTTGCTGATACATTTAAGAACTTTGAAAGTGCTGGTAAAACTTGCCTAAAGTTAATAGTATGTATAGTATGTATGTATATGTATGTATGTATGTATGTATAAAGTTAATATAGTATGATTAATTGAATATCGTTTCATGCCATACGTATTATTATTATTTAAAACTACGACAAAAAACGACGTATTTACTAAAAATATTGTGACTATACAAATTTTCGTTAAAATAAATAGTGATTGCAAACTTATTGGTATAATTGGATTGCTGTCTATTATTTGTAAAATTGAAATAATTTTTCTCTAATAAAAATATGTACAGAAAACTTACTTAAGAGTTCTAAATTTAATGAAATCTTTTGAAACATGACCAAGGACATTTAATAATTGCCATGCTCGATTAATTATTAATACATTTTCATCTTGAAATCGGTCTACCAACGGATGCCATAGCAAATGTACAATTGGTAATAATTGATTTTCCCATTCAGCTAAAATTTCAAGACCTTCTTGTAAAGTGGACAATGCAAGTAGCGATTTTTCCACTTCCTTTGATGAAAGAAAATGTAAACAATGTTGCATCACATCTTTAATCATTTTTACATAAGGAGGTAGATTCTGATCTTCTGTAAATTATACCAATCGCACATCAATTCAAAATTATGAATTTATTTAAATAAAATAATCGATCTTTACCTTCATTATCCATCGTCATATCCACTTGATCATTTTCCACTTCTAATATTTTCTCATCCAAATTAGTATCATTAGGTGGTTCCTCTATTTCTTCAACAATTTCTTTTTCCGATTCATAACACTCTGATAAAGAATGAATAATTTTTTCCGATTTAGTTTCTGCCTTTGTATTTTGTTCCTGTGTTATTGTAGTACGTTGGGGTATGGCCAATTTTTTTATACATATTGAGAATGTAAAAAAAACTTTTAAAAAAGCAAGTGAATTTTTCTTTTGGAAACTGTTATTCAATTGTAAAAATACATCTTCTACAATTTCTTTTAAACAAGGTAACACATCTATTGTACTATACTTCATGACAATTCCGATAACGTCAAGTACACTAGGATTACGTTCTACACGACGCAATTTTACTGTTACGTGGTATGAAAAATAGTCCACGTTCGTGCGTAATAGATCACCCACTGTATCATGCTGTTGAGATTTTGCAATAATTTCAAGAGTTTGAGTTCCAACAAAACTAATCAAACTATGTTTGCTACCTATAAGATAAAAGAATTACGTTATTTAATTAATTTATCATCTGTTACTCTTACGTTATGCAAGTAAAAGATTACCTGCTCTTTCAATAATTAAATATAACGTTTTAAGAAGATATCTATCGTAATTTCGTTTTAAGTTTTGAGCGATTAGTCCCAATCCTTCCAATAATAAGCAACACTGTACTACATTAGCTTGAGCAATGCCCAAGGGTGTGTTTTCAGAACAGTCAATAGACGGATACCAATGTTCATGAGTTAGATACAAATTGATAACATCATTATAGATTGACAATAGTGAAAAATCTTTCAAAGGCACTACAATTTATAATTAATAGTTAATAACATTATTTTATATCATTCTTATAAAGAATTATTGTATATACCATTTATTATCCAGTTTAGTAATAAGAACAATTCTTTTTTATGTTGTGGGATATCAACTATAAGGCTGCAAATGGTATCAACTAAAATTTTGAGATCCCCAAATTTTCCAAGGTATTTACATAGTACTATGACTTTTTCTTCGCAAGAGTTGTTCTGAATGAATTTAAATCTTCTCCATAAGTGTGACCCATAATAATAAGCTGGATCTTCCAAGTCTTTAACATTTGCAATTTGCAAAATGGATATATTGCTGCAGTCTATTTCGGATACATATACAAGTGCTAAGAGCAACCTTCTTACATGCGATGAAGACATCATGATGCAAGGTAATCTTTGTTCTCCAAGAAGTTTCAAATAACCCGCAATTTGATTTAAGCAAGATAACTGATCACTATCATCTGAGAAACAAATAGTGCTTAATTTATTTCCTGATTAAAAATATATTTTACAATTTACTTTATAACTTAACACTTTGCTGATCAGTCACAAGTATACTCTTGTGTCAGTTCCTGATCGTTAATGATCAGTACACAAGTTAACTTGTATTTCCGACCCATATGTAAAAATAACTGGCTATACAGATGAGCTTTGACACGAAAGAGCTGATCAGCAAGGTGTTAATTCAGAATATGTAAACATAAAAGTAGAAATCATACCAAACCTCCTGATAATCCTAGGTAATTTTGTAAGTAAGTTATAAAAACTTTCTTCCAATAGTTCCACTAAGGGCTTCATATTCCTATTTTGCATATAGCTTACAGTAATTACATTTAATGCTTTTTCAGCTTCCTCTTGAATTTCTGGAAATTCATCTTCAGATAGAGATATTAGATACTCAATTAATAACATAACATTTGGTTTCATGTTTCTGTGTAAAAAGTTTATATTATTTCTTTTTAGCAATTTTTTATTAAACAATGTAGATATGAAACAACACTATTCACCTAGGACATGTGGTGAGCAACAGAGAAATTGTGGCAATTAATTCCTTTCTGACTTCCCAGTGAGAATGCTTCTTCAACACATCTAACTGTTGCACAAGTACATTAAGTTTTGTTGCACTAGCATCAAACCATTCTTTGTTTCTTACTGTGCTTTGAAGGTGTTTCCATATTTCACTATTATCAATTATTTGTGCCAAACCTTTTGAAGAATTAATAAAGGTGTCGTTATGTGGTTTCATAAGAATATCTAATGATGGTGTAGCGTCTTCCAATTTATCTTTCATTACAAGTGAAATTACTCTACCCCAAGCCCTCAATGCCAACTAAAATTTGTTATAAATAAATAAATATATATACGTCATTTTATACTAAATATATTACGTAATATTAAAATTTTTCATAGTTTGTTTACATTACCATTGTTAGTCTATGTCCTTGTATCTCACTACCTATAACTATTTCCAGCAGTCCACTTGCAATACCAGGTAAAAATAACATAATAATTTCAGCTACTTGATCTTGTAGTATAATATCATATCTGTCTGATTGATCATCAACTTGACATAGAGCCATTACTGTCTCCACCGCATGTAATCTATAAAATTACAAGTCATGATTTTATGTATTAATATATTCGTTTACGAGATTGAAAAATATGAAAATTTTTAATATTTACCTGAGTGAGTTTGATTTTTCTGTTCTGCCTATTGTTATAGATAATAATATTCCCTGACCTACCTTCGAGGCATTTTTTCTTACATACAGTGATTCTATAACTTCTGTAAAACATGACTGTATCAAGGTTTTAATGCATAACAGTACAGCTTCTTTTAATTCTTCATGGCCTAAGATCACTGAA